CGATAGGACACAAAATTTTCACTTTTATCCCCCTGCATAAAGATGATACCTTTTTGTCCAGCAAATTACCCAGAGAATACATATTTCGAGCCGGACTTAGTAAAGATTCGCAGAAAAGAAGCTATAAATAGGGATGAACGTGAGAGTACTCGCTCGCTGCGCTGTAGAGATGCCGAGCCGCCGTCAACTACGTCAACTTGGATTTAGATAAATGCGGCAACTTAAGAATATTATAAATATTATGAAACCCAGTTAATTGATCTGTACAATTCATACATGATGATACAATAAATTTGTCTTAATTGATTGCAATGTTTCAAACACAGCAAGTCGGTGCATACGCCAAATTCGTAACAAATTTACGCAATATGTACTGTATCAGGAGAAACTGTATTTTTTTTTGCAACGAAATATTCCACTGTTCTCAGACAATTTATATCACGAGCAGTCTGATTCATGCCCAGTGGCTTCACTTTGACTTGAAAAATTTGTGAACACCTTCTTTCTGTTTACTCGTACATACGAAATTCACGCTAAATTTTCGCTAAATTTACATGAATCAAAATATCACAAGCCAAGCAAGCAGAACGAAGTCATGGTTTCGTCTTGATCTTGAATGACCCGCAAGCTTTCTACGTCGGATAAATTACGGTGGCAAATTCTTTCGTGCACTGCGCAGTTTGGACAAACGGCTATCGGTGGCTTACAAGAGCTTTGCCTGCAATGTACACTCGATGATTCTGATCCTATAAATCATCGACGATTCATCGATGACCGCCGCCTATACTCGCCGCCCTCTCGATATATTGGTGTTTTACTGTCGATTTTCGGCAGATATGACCACCCACCTCCCGCTTCCTTATAATCTACCATCGCTTCCCACAAACTTCGATGCGCCATCCTTAATTTTCATTTGGGTATTGAGCTTGTCTGAAACATCTCTGAAAAATGAACGATTTAAACCATATGTCTGATGTCAAATTATTATTCAGACTGATATTTAAACAATTATGCGATCTTTGTACTTTGATTGTAAATTCTAGCCACAAAATAATATTCATTTATTAGGACAAGTTGATTAGAAATTAGTTCAGATAAAAACTTGTGAACTCGAATTACCTCCTTCATCGCAAGGCTTCATTAAGTCCCGACTGAAAGCGGAGGACCATAGATGGGCGAGAGACGGGAAAACACGATCATCGGGTTTGAAAATTATCGATTCACGGACGAAATTTTGATGGGATGCCTGTGCCTATCGGGTTCACATTCAAGATCACTTACGAGGCAAATAGCTACCAATCGTTCTCTTATTTGTCTGCTGACTGGTAGAGAATTGACACCAAAAAAGAATTCAAAAACTCGAAATAGAAAGAAGCAATATTAAGTGAAAATTCTGTCAAGTCTGTAACAAAATATGAGGCTTAACTTTAATAAGTACTTATATGATTTATCTGCACATGATTCATTTGAAGTATCCTTTTGAGTACCAACGTATCCTTTTGGGCCAACGAACGGCCCAAAGATCTAGTGGATCTGCTAGAGCAAATGCACCTGACTTGCACGATGTGGAAGGCACAACTAACGTCTCCTGTTGACATTGCCAATTGCTAATTAAGACCGTTTGCCTGGATAAACAAATTACTGTTCCTAGAACAACATAGCCTGAATAGGCACTGTTGACGCTCGAGCTGCCAGCGCAAGTTAGTGATGCCCGGACCCAGCGGATCTCAAAGTCTGTTATCCCCTCACGAAGCTGCTGTACAAGACGGTGCTGTTATTTGGATCATCAGGAGGCGGTTGTGCTTCATGTCAATTCTTCCGATGATCGTATTACTCCCCAAGTTTCTGCTTGACCAGTCATCTTTAATGTGATCTAAAATTTTCTTTAAGTAAAAGTAAAGAATATTCAATTTTGAAAGTTCATCTGAGCTCAAATTAAGCGTTATGCGATATCTCCAGAAACACTAATTTGAAATTGCAGTGAGTGAAATAAGTCCGAAATAACATGTCACACAAGTTATTTTGAGATTCATTTCTTTAGAAAATGGTAAATAAATTAACAAAACACTCGTATGATTTCGCAGCTTGAATTTTATTGTATAATACAAATTGTACTGTATTATACAATATTGTATAATGCAATACAATTTGCATTGTATAATACAAATGAAACAAGGAACGATTGAAGAGAATTCGTAAATTATCGACGTGAAGAAATTATTAAGTCAATACATAGCCACATATATTTCAATCCAAGTTTGTTAGAATTAAGCTAATTTAATCTGACACTGTAATCGAAAAATGTATAATATGACAAATAAAATTACGATGGCTTTTCATGTTTCGATTGACATGATTGAAATTTCTAAGGTATAACGCAGGAACAAACATTTCCGTGCCATAAAAAATTGATACAAATTAACTGTTTTAAATTCTGATATATGTATTAATTATCCATTTCAGATGCGCGGATTCACAAAATGGTTCGACATCGGAAAATGCTTCCAAAATAATTCGTAAATTCAGATAGAACGATTAAACAAATGTTGTTGTTTTCCCAAGTATTCATACCCAAATAAAAATTAAGGGTGGTGCACCGATGATTATAGGTGGCGATAGTGGTTTATAGGTGGCGTAACGGTGAGTGGCCAGATTTGCCAAAAATCGACAATAAAACATCAATAAATCGAAAGGGTGGCGAGTAAAGGTGGCAGTCATCTATGAATCATCGCTGATTTGTAAGGTCTGAATAATCGATAGTACATTGCAGGCAAATCTCTTTTAAGCCACTGAAAACCGTTTGCCTACACAATGCACGAAGGTATTTGCCACAGTAATTTATCCAACGTAGAAAGGTGTTATTGGATTGCGGGTCATTCGAGATCAAGACGAAACCATGACTTCGTTTTGTGTGCTTGGTTTTTAAGAATTAGTTATGTTAAGAAAATTTTGCGTGAATTAGGTAGGCACCAATAAAGCTGACAGAGAAGCAAGGTGTTCACTAAATTATTGAGCCAAAGTGGAGCCACTGGGCATGTATCAGACTGTTCCTGATATAATTGTCCGAGGAACAATGAAAAAATTTGATTGCAATAAATACAGTTTTTCCATACATGAGGGCGAATCCAATTTTTCATGTTCACCTGAAATGTTGCGTAAATTTATTAAGAATTTTGCGTATGCACCAACTGGTTGTTTTGGAAATATTGCGATCAATTGAGACTACTTAGTCTATTATTAAGTATAAATTGTATGGGTCGATTAAGTGTGTTCCATTATATTTACAATATTCTCAAGTTGCCCCATTTATCTAAACTCAAAAGGCACGTTGACGTAGTCAACAGCGGCTCCTCTTCCTTGTAAAGCACAGCGGCTCGGAATCATGGGCAGAGAGCGAGAGAGCGACGTGTGAGTAAGCACACGTTCATACCGGGTTGGCTTGACGCGCGTCGACGTTGAGCTTCCAACTAATCTTTACCTAGTCCTGATTGAAACGTGCTTTCCGGGTAATTTGCTTGTCACAAAAGTATCCTTTTTACGCAGAGGATACGAGTAAAAATTCGGTTATTCACCCTGACTTCGATTGTGAAATTTAATATACAGTCAGATAATTCTGTGGTGGCCATTGGCAGGTTATAGGTGTGGGATAGGTGGTGCACGCCACCCTTAATTCACTGTATAAATCATATAAGCTCCACCTATGGGGTCCGCCGATAGCCACCATAAAAACATAGGTGCTCCACTCTCAATTTTTATTTGGGTACTCAATAAATTAAGCTCGAATGGGCTGAAAAATTTTTTCAGCTAAGGTAATATATTCAGAAAAGATAATATTCATTATGCTCGACAATTTAGAAAATGTAAGGCTAGTTGTCTTACCTTCAAGCGAATCAGTCATCTCATATAAATATCAGCAAGTCTAATTGTCTTTTCGCAAAAAATGCTGCAAAGTATGAATATTTGCTATTGTGTTTTTCAGATCCAGTGGAAAAAGATTCGTTTATTGAGCGCTCCAAGACAAATATAGCGGGTAGATCGTTCAGAAACTTGCCTCTCCAGTGTATTGTTATTTTATTAATACTTTAACATATTCGTCACAGTAAATATGTTTTCATGACCTTTTCGCAACAACCAAGTCATACTTGCAATTTCGCTCCTCAAAATATTATATTACTCAAGGCTCTTGCACGGTTCATTGTGCATGAGATTACTCTCAAATTAATTTTTCCGTAAACACGGGAATTGTTTTTACAGTGATCACAAACATACCCGCGCAAGCTGCTCTGAAAAGCTCACTAAACAAACAAACCAGCAGGGTAGTTTGCAGGCGAAAAAGACAGCTCAAACAAACGTTTTTCAGCTGTAAACTAAGATTTATTATGGGGCGAACGCAGGCTAAGCAAAGGCGCCTTATCACTAGTGATTTTTCGCATAAAAAGCAGGTAAGCATAAGTTTTCACAAAATGAATTTTTGTAAGTCACAGATATATTCCAATTCTTGAATAAATTCTGCGGTATAGAACTCTACTCCAGGTTAGACCTATGAATGATCGAAAACGGAGCTCAACAGTTGAAGTAGGAAATTAATTCTTCTGCTGAGACTTTGAAAATATGGAAGAATGATTTGTCCAACTTTTTCTCTCTCATTATTTTTAAATCTGCATTAAACATCAGTCATGAAAGTATCCAGAAATAAAAACATAGATCTTTTTATATGTATAGTATAATCATCAAATTACTAAAGAAGGTTAACGTTAAAGACGGATAATAGCAAAAAGGAGACGTCTCCACTTAATTTCCATTCAAGTGGACCAGAACTCGATATATTTTACTCGACGATCATATGTACCCAAGGAATGGAGCAGATTAGACCCATGGGTAATATGTAGTAGCAGAGGAGAAAAAATTGTATAGCCTTTCCTCCGTTTCATTTTTGAGTCCTATATTTCTAGACCAAGTGAGTATCACGGATACCATGTTAACACCCGCATGGTACTCACCCAAGAGGCGGATCCTTGGGCGAGACGAAGCACTTGACGCCGCTGTTGGCGTTGCAGAGAGCCGTGTTCGAGTCTGGGGGTGTCATGCTGATGTAGGGAGGCTCGTCCATAAACGTAATCTGGACACAAAAATTAGCAGTCATGAGCAGGAAACCGGAAAACAAGCGAGGCAGTGATAGTATACATTTTTTTTCCACTGACTATAAGTTGTAGCTCTAGTAATATTTTAATGGCTTACGGTACAGTTTTTTAGAAGCAGATGCGTATTTATTGGGACTATTAGAGCAACTGTTTTGGCATGAAGTAGTCAAGTTATGGATCTCTAAATGCATCGCTGGAAAAGAGTTCAACAGAGATTTATGGTCGTGGAAATCGAAAAGTATTATACCATTAGCTCACAATTCTATGCAGCTGGTGAAAAGATGATGATGCTGCATGGCGCATTTTCCATAATTTTATATATCATTAAAAGAGAGACTCCATCTCCTTGGAAGATTTGCTCGTTCATGAAGTAATATAACATTCCGAATTACATTTATTGCTTCCTATTTGTTCCTCGACGACAGAAAGTGAAACGAAATGCCAACTGAAAAGAAAAATTAATAACCGGAGCAAGAAATTTACATGCACACGTCAATGATCTATTACTAACGGTTGCAGGTGTTAATTGTCAATTGTCTCTATAAACGTTCGGATCAATGATAATGAATAGTCAGGTAACTTTCTCAGACTTCAGAATCATAAAAGCTTTGCCAGTGCCGGCGATTTTTTATATTCGGAAACCCTTTCCTACACCACAGCCATCAGCATCACTACAATCTGCAACAACATCCGCAGTTGGCAGCATTGTCAGTCAACACAATCATCAGCCTGAACCTGTTAACATCAACATTCCTAGCTGGCAGTAAAGAAAATCTACGGAACTCGCTCATCAACGCTGGCCAAACTTCTACGATCATGAACATCAGCCTTCGAGAACATGGCTGCCTTTAAATTTAGTGGTAAGGCAATCAGTCAGAAAAAACGATCCATTAGAAAGAGACTTCCTGAAGCCCAATTCATCAGTATGCGAACTAATCAGCATAACGGTTTGCCTGTGAGCCAATCACTCCGCTGAACAATCCTTCAAACAGTTCCCTGAACAATTCTTCCGCGAGTTGACTAGTCTGCTAGACAGTCCGCATGAGATGCAATCAGTTTGAAGTACAATCCGCCCTCAATACAATCATCCCGCCAGACATTAATCCCATGTTATAATAAGCTAGCTAAACAATTCATAAAACTGACAATCAGCTTACAAGACAATACTTCCACAGAACAATCAGTCTGCTGGACAATCCATTAGAGAGTTAATCAGCTTACAAGACAAATACGTCCATTACACAATTAGTCTGCTCGGCTATCTATGGATATAGATAACACTAAAAGAAGACGAATACCAACATGATCACAAAACGTTCAGAGATGAACTTGGCTAAAGCAAGAATATTCTTAATTGCCAGACTAGCGCGCATGACCTGAAGATAGTTTGTGGACAACGAACTAAAAAAAGCCTTTCGTATGACGAACAAGAGGGTAGTTTGAACGCAACAAACAAGAGGGTAGATTGAACGCAACAAACAAGAGGGTAGTTTGAACGCAACAAACAAGAGGGTAGTTTGAACGCAACAAACAAGAGGGTAGTTTGAACGCAACAAACATGAAGGTAGTTTTAACGCTACAAACAAGGGGGTAGTTTGAAAGTAACAAACAAGAGGATAGTTTGAAAGCAAAAACAAGAGGGTAGTTATTTGAAACCGACAAACAGGAAAGTTATTGGAACGCAGCAAACAGAAAGAAAATTTTAGTGCGAAATACAGAAGGGTAATTAGCACATGACAAATGCGAGGATAATTTTCACACGTCAAACAGGAGTGTAGTTTGGGGCACATCAGAAATTCATCCAGTTGATTCACGAACACGTCGATAAAGGAACCGTCAATCAATCATCAACTTGTTCCTTAACACCTGTGATCGCTCACTTTTTAAATAGCACGGCTACTACGCAAATAAATAAATATGAATGCTTACTAAATGAATGCTAAATATAAGAAATATATACAATTACAGTTGTATTACAGTTGTTTTCCAAAAGATGACGGCGAATCAAATTTTTCGTGTTCACCCGATATATTACGTAAATTTGTTGCGAATTTGTCGTTTGCGCCTGTATATTGATACAGGCGCAATATATATATTAAACAATATACATGATGTATATTGTTTAATGTATAAACTGTATTGATCGAATATGTGTGTTTCATGAAATCTGCAACATTCTCAAGTTGCCGCATTTATCTAAATCAACGTTGACGTAGTCGACGGCGGCTCGGCATCTCTACAGCGCAGCGAGCGAGTACACTCATGTTCATACCTATTTGAAGCTTCGTTCCTACTAATCTTTACCAATTTATGCTCAAAATATGTGTTCTCTGGGTAATTTGCTGGTCAAAAAAGTATCTTCTTTATGCAAAGGGATACAAGTGAAAATTTGGTCTTCTATCTTGACTTCGATAGCGAAATTCATGATTATTAATGTGAAATTTGCATATACCGTCAGATAATTATATTGAGTATAAGTCTACATTCATAATAAAGTGGTCTCGCTATTTTTCCTACGCAAAAGAATAAATAATATGCTAGAGAAAAATATTGACATGAAGCGAGGAAGGTATTTCACGCCTAACATAATTCAAAACCATTTAGTGATATCAATTCCATATTTCACGCAAGAATATTATTAGCGAAAATATTTCGTATTGAACCTCTGTCAATTTGTGCAATGTTCTTACTATGAAACTTCGAAACTTATTAAGCATTTTACCGCAGCCTCCACTCTGAGCTGGAAAATCGTTCGTTACGGATAAACTAAGTTTTTCAGCGGCTGTTTTCTCGAATATAGCAGCATGTTCGAATAAAATGGCTAATGGAACCATCGAGCAATCACAGTCGTAGCATTAAACTTCTGTCATCTGATGAAATTAATACTTGCATTACTTCAATTAAGTCTTTGAAAACGATTCGAGTGACATGTCCTCTCCGGTGGCTCAATGGTATAGCGGCTCGATTTCGCGCAAGGGAGATTAGAGTTCGAATCCTGCGGGCAGGGACTTTTCTTCAAGTCAAATACTCACGAGGTATGTGTATGGTACTGTAATAATTTGTTCCTGCTACATGTCAGACATTGTTAATTATACTGTCATTATTGCTGTGCATACGTTATTAACAGAATGCATGATGTATGAAGCAATATCAGTAAATGCAAAGGCATTGGATTTGAAACAGGAAACTTTACCTAAAAGGAAAATTTTTAGCGACTTAATTTAGAAGGTGGCCATCGGTGGCTCATCGATGCTACCGTTCATTCCACATTGGTGGAAGAGTTTGTCGTGTAGGGTGGCCATCGGCAGGTTATATGTAGAACACAGGCCGGAAACGTCATCGATGTCGCATCGTTGCGCCATAGGTGCTTAACCTATAGCCACCGATAAATTATCGATGCTCCACCAATATATTTTTATTTGGGTTTAGAAGCAACTACCATTTTAAAACGTGTATACTGCTCAAAAATATTCCAGAAACACTTATTTCAGACAATATGTTCAAAAATGTTACTTTTCGTATAAATCGAAGCAATTCAATCATCTGTCATCGAAAATACCTCTAATATCTAATAATATTATTATAAATTGTGATGAAATTGTTAAGCAAAAGACCACTTTTTAGTTAATAAAAATCGAATAAATTTACGGAAAATTCAGCAGCAAGTTTGGATAATATCTTAATGTAGTTTATATAAACTCGTAAAAATCATTTCTGATTTAAAGTCATTTCGGAATATTAGTTGTTTTTTTTTAGAACTCAGGCAGTGATAACGTTAACTGAATAAGCACAGAAAAAGACAATACAAAATTTTCGTCAAAAAGAATAAATTTGAATGATATCTGAAAAACATTTTTTCCGCCTGGGTATATTGTATATTGTATTGTATATATTATTGTATATACAATATATTATATATATATTGTATATTGTATATATTATTGTATATATTGTATTGTATATTGTAAGTATGAGGCTGATGTTATCGACAAATTTCTCGAAAGCAAAAGACGGACGAGAAAAGTCTCTTGAGGCCTGCTGGTCTCAGAAACTCGAGATATGACCTGACTTATACGAGACATGATCAGACTAGCTGTAGACATGTTCTTAGTAACTCGATCGAGACATGACTTGACTAAGTCGAGAAACGGTCTGAATATCTCGAGACATGGTCTGACAAACTCGAACCAGGTCTTGTGGCGTTCTGAATTTCCAGACCACCAGCATTGTCGATTTCGTCAACTCAGCTAGTTATGATACAGTGCATAGTTGATAATAACTTTGTTTCTTTGAATCGCTCTTACCATCAGCACATCATCCAATCTATACCATGAGACAAGTACACCAGATTTATTGACCATCCTCTACTTAATATTATTAAAATTTGATTTCATATTCTGGTTGTCAAGATTGTCCTCGAGACATAGTTGAGCGGAATCTATTTATTTTTACTTCACTGACAACCAGTTTGTAGACTTGCCTTCAAATGGAACTTCTCAGGCACTCCTGGCGGGGGCACGTGCTTATACCCCGGCCACACGATGTCGTTCACGTAAAGCCCGTATGTCTCCCACGACCGCCAGGTGCCGATCTGTGAGCGAGATAGTAATAGTATAGTATAGTATAGTATAGTATAGTATAGTATAGTATAGTATAGTATAGTATCTTCGGCGTAGAAGAAAAGGCCTGGATAGGCCTGTCGCCGATTCTTGTCGATTTTTATTGACTAGACTGAGATAAGTCCATGAGAGAACCAAATGTCATGCGCTGTCTGCCTATTAGCGTTGTTTCACCGAATAGGAAGGAAATTTATTTAACTTTCATGATGTTTCTAGGTAAATGTCAAGCACAAATGACTATTCCGTATATAGATCTCAAAACAATACAGCAGTTTAAAGTTTGTAGTATTGGCAAAATAAAAATTTATACCGACGAGCAGGAATATTCAGTGTTTCATCTGCGATGCTGACACTTTAGACTCGAACCTTCATTTAAAATATTATTAGGTCCCTGGTGAGGCAATAAAATAGAAAATTTCGAACATTAAATTCAGAAGGCAAGGAAATAATTTTCCACTACGAAGTTGAAGTCAGATCACGGGTTAACGAGCGAAGTACCTACCTAAACTAAGTTTTAAAATATTTCTTGTGACCTACAAAAATCCCATTTATGAAATAAATTTAAATGAAATGCAAGACAAAACCTTGCAAAGAAAACTCCACCGAGAAAATTGGCGCCAGAAATTTCTATATTGCTTACTTGACTCGCTACGGATAGAGTATTAACTAACGAATTATCACAAAGAAATTAATCAATGGATGTTGTGTATTCGGAAAGGCAAAAATTCAAGAGGCAAAAATTCAAAGTCCTGAAGCTTACGAGAAAGTACAACAAATTCTAAGCTGTGCTAACTCTGAGCATTTAAAAAATGTTCTCATTGAATGAGTAAATCACCGGTTGAAAAATTGAGCAATTTGCGGTTCCCATTAGCTCTAAACATTAGATATTAGGCAAAATTAGACATTAAAATTTAAAAAATTATCTAACTAAAATTATCTTGTTATCTACGCAATTTAAAAAATTATCTAATTATCTAAATTAAAAAATTATCTATCGATCTAAAAATTGCCTAATGATTAAAAGCGGTATTCCAGCTATGAATCCTATTCCGTACTAGTCTTAATCAGATAAATAGATAAATTTAAAGAAATGCAACATTTAAAAATTGCTGTCAAATACTAAAATATTTCTAATCGTATTCTTGGCAGCTCCCAAACGCAGAATGTCAGTCGTGAAATCAGTTGTTTGGTGTAGGGTAATTCACTTTTTTGGTTACAGAGTCAGTTGGCAGAGACCAGACAGCTATGCCTTATTATTGATTACTAACTTCATATGTATGTTATTTCATTAATATCTCACACCTTTTCATGGCATGCGTTTTTTGTATTTTTTGTCGTTGCTAGAAACGTACGTTATGGACCATTCTTTCATTATCTTGCCATGACAGCGCGTCTTGAAATACAGGCTTTAAAAGCCTGGATTGCCCAAACATCATTAAACTGTCACGCCTAAACAAGCCGCACAAAAATTATCGCTATGGATTCAGCGCTCCTTGTAATCCATGGAACTAACAAGTGTTATTGTAACTCCACGAAATCAGCTGGCATTTTCAGCTTCGTGTACTTCACGTTAACATTTTCCACTACGCATTCACATGCTAAAATATATTTTAGCTTATCAGGGAAATATTTCATTTTTAAAGTTGACTGCGTCACATAAGCCCCACGAAAAGTTCGCCGAGGCTTGCTAGGAGAACGTAAAATAGCGGCGGCAACAAGGGACGAAATTGTCTGGCCATCACAGGAGCCTTCGTCCCCGAATATTAAATTGATATTTACGACACCTGGGCGGTTCAAGCCACTCAGGTGGGCTCATACTTTTCCTGGCCGGCCAACAAAAGCGAAAATATTCAGTGCCACATTGTCGGTAGCTCTTGAATTTTGGAAGAAACTAATACGCTGATAAGAAAGTATATCTTTGATCGCGCTTATCTTTAGATGATATGTGAAATTAATAATTGATATTTGAATGGAGAATATTTTCATGACGACGAACGCTATTCAGATGATGAGGTAGCTATAGCTTGAAGCGTGAGCTAATCGTCAAATTTCAAATATTTTGCATTCGAACGCCCAATTTTGAGTGCAACAGCTGTGACCCAACATGTACGCACGTATAATATACTTGATACGGTCATATTGATCAGTACCGATGTTGAAAAGTACGATCAATACTTTAAGTTGTTTTTAAATGAAATTATTACAGTAGGGCCGCTTGAAATAAGATCATCTTTAAATAAGATCATCCCATAATAAGACATGCTCCATATGTGTACATTACCTCGTACGCAGTCTGCGTAAAATTTCAGCATGGACCATGTCTATTTATTTATGCTTAAACATTACAATAGTACAGACGCGAAGTAAGCCATAAGCATACAGAATGACTCTTACCTCAACAAAAATTAAGGTATGATAGAGACTCTGCCTGAGGCTCGCTATACTCGGGGTATGGTGATTCTGGGTCTGCTCGGCCACTCGACCGCAATCAGCGACTAGTCAGAGTCGCCTTGCCGACTTTATAGTCTCCTGAGAGTATGGCAAGAGTGGGCTTGGCTGAACCTACCCAGCGTATAAACTGCCCAGAGGCTGCCCTCCAAGCCTACAGCGGAAGGCAGTGGGCAGAATCCCACCGGAGGTGCATGGACGAGCTTGTCTGCACCTGCATAACTAAATGCATGCATATGTCGTGCCGAAATCACCGAATTGCCGATTCCATGGAATCGGCAATTCTGCGATTTCGGTACGAAATATACATGCATTTAGTTATGCAGGTGCAGACAAGCTCGCCCGTGCACCTCCGACAGGATTCTGCCCACTGCCTTCCGCTGTGGGCTTGGAGGGCAGCCTCTGGGCAGTTTATAGGCTGGATAGGTTCGGCCAAGCCCACTCTTGCCATACTCTCAGGAGACTATAAAGTCGGCAAGGCGACTCTGACTAGTCGCTGGTTGCGGTCGAGTGACCGAGCAGACCCAGAATTACCTTACCACAACCAAAGCGAGTCTCTCGCAGTCTCTATCACACCTTAATTTGTGTTAGGGATTCTGGTTTTAAGGCACTTTTAAAATAATCTCGTGCAGGCGGGTTTTCATTTAACTAATTGATATTCATGATTTCTTCACTGAAGCACGGGATTGCATTATTTCTGCATATTTTTATTTTTTTATAATTATTTGTATTTTTATGACATTTTGAACGGGAGAGTGAATATTTCTGTTCATGCCATTATTTTATTTATTTGTATTGTTTTCACATCATATCTTTCTGTGTTATGATCCTGTTTATTACTTGTTTTCTAAATTGCATAATTTATATTATTCTTGTAAGAAGTGTTCCAAACCAATAAAGTACTTGAAAACAAACAGGTTAAGATGTTAAGAAGTTTAAAATCAAACATCAGGTAGGAAAGAAGTTGAGCATAAAATGGTATTTGTGCTATATTTGGACCTATAGAACATCCGATGAATGACTGTAATTAAAATTTATTTTATTCCATTAATAGCTTGTCCGTTCAACAGGCATAATATTATTCACCCTGTCTTTCGATAGCTAGTTGAATTGCCTTACAATCATCGGTCTATCACCAGGTATAATTGCAGGGCACTTTTCATATGTATCCGCCCACCACAGTGAACAATATTATCGAGGGAATTTCCTAATTATGGTCCTGTCATGTGGGCTACAATTTATTTAATTTTCAAACGAATTTGAACAAATCAATATTTTGTTCCACAGCTTTTTCGACTTCACCAGTCGGAGAACAGACAATCGAAACTAGCTGTTAGTTAATTGTCCCATATTAGTTAATTTATAGAACAGTTTTGTGCAATATATTCTATTGTACTTATAGCACAATATGATAAAGATATCAAACCACAAAGCTTAAAAGTGATCGTGCACTGTCATCAAATGCAACAAAGGACTAAAATAGCGAAAGCAAAAATCGTGAATGATTGCAAAAGTGTTTCAAGTCAATAAAAAGAATGATTGCGGGGAGAAAACATGAAAAATATTAAAGCATACAATTTCAATTGGCAGAATCATACTTAATAATAATGAAAGAACCGAAAGCACTGCATTTACTAGAAATCTGTACGCTGTTCGGTGTTGGAGCAATTGATGATCCAATAGCAATGTTATGCTTCTTTCAACACGTACTTCTGTTACAAGTGAGTCAAAATCGAACGCTCAGATCTAAATTGCATACATACAAATCTTTAAGCTGTTCATTATTGGAACAATTAGTGAAATTTTTACATGTGGAATTCAAGATCTCTGAAATTCGGGATGATACTCAACGAAGTAATGGACTAACTATAACTCACAACTAAAAATCTCACTTGAATCATGATAACTATTCCCATAAAAGACTTTCATAAATCTTTTCCCAACCTACAAACCCCTCCCCCACCCCATGCACTCCGTCCGTCAAATGTGGTTCTGCTTGAATTTTCGTGTGCTCATCATAATGAAATGTTCTAACAAAAAAAAAATCATCTACGTCAGACCAATATTCTTTAAAAGACCTTGTGAAGTCATTTTCTGCGTCGTAATTCTACTAGTTTTTGCGCACTAAAACTGACCATTACGGAACATAAGTCGACATAAGTCAACCAAGCGATTCCAAAATGTGCTGTTATTGCTCGAACTATCGGGCACGAAATCCTGTTCAGGACTCTTCGGTTTTCATTCGATTGCGCGTAGACCTGAAGTTCAACTTTTTGAAACCAGTAGACAAATGCCGTTTGATCATTGCTAGGGCAATAATCATACGGCCAGGATCTTTGAACAGTAGGATATGTGCAAGAACTTAACGCACTCGACATTTCATCTCCATGTAACATTTATAAAATATCTTGAGCCCCTTCTTCTACGCAAAACATAATGATGTAACTCCCTTTTTAGAGCATTTTCTCATTTATGGAAAAATGCACTATTGTGCTCGACACGTCTGTCTGTCGGTCTGTCCGTCCGTGACGGACAGAGCGTCCGAATGCGCTCTCTGTCACTCACTGCAGTGAGTACTGAGTTATATTTTTTTTAAGCTTAACTCAGCACCAGAACATCGAACGCCTGTTAAAACTCAGTATTATAGAAGGGCTAGCTTCATTTACATTCTTTTTTCAGTTCATAGAGGTCGCCAACTGAAGCTAGATGGTTCCTTAGATTCACTGTTCTCACTCAAGATCTACAATTTGAACCAAGGCTCATTTGTCTGCATGAAATTATGAAAATTTGTATCAGTAATTTGAAGCTAATAAATTACAAAATAAAATCCATTCGAATGCCTGGTTTTACCAAGCTGTTCCATCTGCTAGGAATCAATAATAACATGAGAAGTAAATAACTTGCTCTTGTACCCAACTTTGCGAGTTAGGAAAATAATTAGACATGAAATCCATTTATCATCGACTCCACCGATTCCAGCGATAGCAATTCAGGGAGTGATTTCCGGGCAAGATTTGGAATGACTGCAATTTGTGCCGTTTGTTCTGTGAGCGAATGGCTGATATTGCTAGGGTTACATGAGCAATTACTGCATCCGTCAGCAGAGTAGTTGGCTGACGTTCTGTAAAGCGGCGCAGGCCAGACTGTTCTTCGAAAGCTGATAAAACGTAGTAAAATGCTGTGAAGAATTTCGACTGAAAATGGCATAAATTATTATGAAAGTAAAACCGGGCAGTATTCACGGAGTGCGTTTTTTTCAACATCGTTTGTTCTAGGAAATCCAAAATTTTAAAACACTATCGATTTATTTCCTTTGAGAAAAAAGATAAATTGTGAAAATTTCCACGAATCAGACTAAGACTGCTTAGATGAGAGTGAAACTCGTCATTAATTGATGTTAATTTCGGTTTGATTTTCGTTTACGATTTCTCGGGTTAGCAATTAAGCTGACTTCAGGTGGCTAAATCAGGGAGCTGACATCCGGCTCAATTATCACGACATTACCTGGACGGATCAAGATTGTGGTTGACATCGATTGTATTAGTCACGCTGATGGCTTAACCTTTGATCATTATTAGCAATGATCCGTTGTAATTGTTAAACATTTTTAAAATATGATCAATATTAGCAATGATCCGTTGTAAATGTTACACATTAAAACAGCTGCTACTCAATATGTTCTAAATTTATTTTCTTTTACGAGTGATCCCGCGACGGGTGAACATGTTTCGTTAACCTAACATTATGATCAGATGCGCTTGAAATAAAATGTTAGTAATTAAAGATTATTTTTCGTCCAATCGGATTAATTTCTCAACTAAACGGAGACGCAACCTCCCGTAATTCAGGAGTAGGTTTATTACAATGAAAGACGGAGTTCAAATTAGGATACTTACAGCGTTTAGGAATAAGGCGATCTGATTTGTCAGCACCAATTAATAGGTAACGAATGATTTTTTGGGTGAATGACAAAATTCATCGAAACCGTCCATGTTGATATGAAGTATATTTTTAATGAGATCTTAAGGTCTTGAAATAGTTTGATGTTGGGCACATATACATATATGCTTCACACAGTTAGCAATGCAGTGACGTAGGCAAATAATGGAAAATTGGTGGTGGAAAGTGAAGTATTTGAAAATGAACTTTGGCGACCACAATTATTGAAAGAGCTTAGAGGAAAGGCTTGATCCACCGCCCGAATTGATACCGTGTTCGACTTGGCGTGATTGCCTCAAACTATGAATTGTTTCATCTTAATTATTTTCATGAAATGTTGAAGGGAAAATGCTTGACTAGCGAGGACTTAAAATAATTTTTCTTGAATCATTTTGGGGCAAACAAAAAAGCGATAGGATGACCAGGGCCGGTAAATTTATACAGATCTAGCTACAGCTAACATCACGTGTTGGATACTAAAAAATCCATTGAATACTGACAGAATTATTTATGCTAGAAGAACGAAATGATTCAACCTCCTTAATGCAATCACTTAGTGCACTGATTTGAATAAAATAAACATGAAAGTAATATAAATTATTATAACGTGAAATTTGAAATTATTCGTTGCATAGCCCATAATGCATGCTTTTTCAATTGATAGTTTCGAAAATGTACATTGCGCCGTTATGGTTTACTTAGAAAAACGCTTCTTCGTGATAAAATTAGTGGAAAATTTTACCAGTAAATATTTATCGATAAGACAAATGAACGCAATCCGTTTTATGGACATCGATTGAAAGCTCACAAAATGGAAATTCTAACATACAGAATAACGAATCGCTCATTAACTGCCAATTAATAAATTGTTTACTAACAGTACACTCCGTAACTAGGCCTTTTGGCACGTGGAGCTTTAATTGGTCAAGCACAATGTAGTCGCAGGAAGGTTCAGCAATGATTAAACCGATCTATGCGTTGACTTCACAACCATTATAAATCATGTCTTTAAAACTTTGCTTGAATTCAATAAGCTTCGATCAATAAATATCATAATTTTTTGTTGGATTTGTCTGATTTTTACTTAATTGATTTGTTCATTGCAGGAATACATTTACCTGATCACCATAGTGTCACATAGTATAACGTTGGGATGACCACGTTTGTTCTACAAGCCATCTTATAAGCAGTTTTATACAAGAGGCAAGTCAAGCAACTTCATGTCGATCCTCTTTAAGGAAGCAGTCGGTTACTGATAAGCAAGTTCTAGAAATTGTGAGCCCAAGACTCGTTAGCGAGACCAATTCTAACCTCGATTGAGCGATAACATTAAATAACCGCACTCGCTTACAATGTATATAGTTTAATTCGTGCAATGATACGAGCTTGACTTTGGTATTGTGACTTGAACTGTATTTACTTCTTAAAAGGCACGAATTAAAATAAACTTAAAGACCGATTGAAATTATTAACCTAAGAGGAGCTACTTCAATTTTTCATTAATTTGTCTTTTTGAAATAATCTAGAGCTATTAGCTCATCAAAAATATTGCTGGACATGTTGAGCATTGGATATCTTCTTTCTATGATCATCGTTTCCTCAGAGAAACTTTGATCATTTGACCCCCATAAATTTCATAAATTTTGATGATCTGATTCAAGTTAGAATTATTGTTTGATATTAATACTGAACAGTCGATCGTCATTTAATTATTCGTTGAACAAATTAATTAACGGAATCCCTTGCACAACAGAATTTTTATGGCAGTTATTTCAAAACCAAACTGAACAGCCGAGTTATAATAATACTGATTCATTGTATATATAAAAACCTAACTGAATTGTCGTACTATTATCTCATTTATTCATTATATATATAATAATCCTGATTCATTGTATATATAAAATACTAACTGAATTGCCGTACTATTATCTCATTTATTCATTATATATACAATAATACTGCTTCATTGTATATATAAAACCTAACTGAATTGCCGTACTATTATTATTCATTATACATTTATATATGTTGATGGCTTACCTCCTCCCAAGCCCTGTTGACACCGCCTGTGGCGTCGCGCAGGTTCATGATCTTGAGCTCGATGTCCAGACGGTTGCCATCTGCGTCGAAGCGCACAGGCGGGCGCTCGCCTTTCTTCTGGTCGGTGTCGTCCAAGAAGTTCACGTAGTCGATTGTTTGATTGTTCAGGTACCTTAACGAAAGATTTAAGGTTTTCCTTACAAGTGCATCTAATACAATGTTAGCAAACGTTTGATTGCGTAAATTACGAAGTTAATTAGGAAATAATTTCGAACAATGCCCAGGGAAATGAAAAGTACGTTAGAGTCCATGAAAGAATAATTTACACGCTGAAAATTTGCAGAGTTGACTTTGAAACCTGAATTATGAATTGAAACCGGCAAAAAACAAAGTCACGAAAAAAATACGTCGTCGGATGAACCCGTTCTTTAACCGAAGTACAAATTTACAGTCAATTGCTTCTCACATTGATCTGAATTTTCATTCTTGAAATAGGATTTTTCGAATCTTTCTTGATTTCAAATTTTGGATGAAATTTTACTAGAAAACCTGTTTATTTTGTCCTTGAATGATATTTTAGAGTTTTTTACTAATTCATTGAACATCTCTTCTAATTCTGGAAAAATTCAATGACTTATTCTAACATTTTATAAAATTATAGTTTGTCTGTGCACGGGGAAGAGATTAAAGTGTAAGCTAATTATGGACTAATTAGCAGTCCCATCCAATTAAGTAGAATAAACTGAGTATTAATTAGGAAATTTTAATATGAAATTTGACCACAACTCTTCGTTATTTCAGATCAAAAAGTTTTGAATGAATAACAACTTAATTTCAGAAAAATTGCTGCAATTTCAAAAACTAAATCAATAATTGCAAGAAATTTGGCGACTTCAGTGGGAGAGAATCTGCGAAATTCGACGAAAAATAATTTCAGCGGCGAATGATTGGTTGAACCTGCGTACTATTTTGCAACAAAGAAAGATGAAATGATTGTTCTTTATGAGCGCTGATAAAACTTATTTTCTTCAAAAATTGTGATGGAAACTCAACCGTTTTCATTTTCTGTCAAGCATGCGGACATCTGAGGTCCCAAATATGCATTTTCTCGGTGACGTGGTCGCTCTACTTCTTAATATGAAGGCTGGAATAAACTTCCACGAGCAAAAAATATCTTTTCGAATTTTGAAAGAAGAAGCAGTGAATATAAATAATCGAGCGATCGTTTTTCATCCTTAAAATGTGAAAGAATTGTGCCGCAAAATTGAGCGGCAGCGGGATATGAGACGGGACTTTTGCCATGCAAATGAAGAAGCGACGAGCCTAAGGCTTCATAAGCAGATGACTTCGTTAGAGGGGAGCGTAAAAATTCTTCGTCGTCCTATAAGGCATCGACATTTCTTACTACTTACCTCAAAAATTTGCGCTTTAATTTAACATTTAAAAAAATTTACATTGTGCTGACATGAACCCCAATTTCCGTGACCCTTATTCTCGCAACACAAAAAAATCGTCATTTATTTATTTAATAGTTGTATTGAAGGTGAACATGATGTCTGCATGCATGTGTAATTCATGTACGAGAAAAAAGATACAATACTATATGATTGTGAGTAAAAATATTAAAAAAAAACATGGTACATTTCAATCTAACGAACCAGAATGTTTCAAAAAACTTCAGAGATACATCCGAATTCATCAGGAATTGTGTGAAGGTGCAATGAAAATACTTGCATCATTAAAAATTCATCGCAGGTGTAGAACGGCACGACCATCTCTTGTCCAGAGGCTACCGAGAGATGCCAACTAAAACTTTTCTGCTGAGAACTCTTGACAAATTACTGAGGCACTATTGCCTAATCCGCCAAACTAAGACGACGAGTCTCAATTCTATATTATAGTTGTCGTTGAAAAAAAGAAAGAGATTTACATAGCTGGCACGGATACTATGAGTAATCCAAATTGGGAAAATAATTCGAAAAGGAAAGCAGAAAGCGGGCCTCTGACTGAATTGTAAAAAATTTCCTCATATTTCGTCGTACGTGTATAAATTTATATACACGTATGACGTTGCGCTTGGCTATTCGGCTATTCGAAACTTGTTCAATCAGGCACCAATGAATGAAAGGATACAGTGTGCTTATTACAATGTTAAATTTTGTTGATGTAGTTGCTAGGCTAGATCATATAAAAATGTAAGTTTGAATAAGCCTCAACAATATCTTACATTTAAATATTAATTCAACATTATTAGGTATCACAATTTAATATAAGCTGCAGGTTTATTGAATTTTCGCATTATGAAACGTGCTCGTTCACACCACGACGCATGCAGTACCCCGCATTATCACATTCGATTTAAATCAGATCACAGAGAAACTTTAGAGTTTTTGTAATCATTGCATTATTCCAGTAAAGATTTCAATCAATAGTTACATGTTTTTCTCGATCGCATTTTGGACGGTATTACAGTCATTGATAATTAGTATAAATTTATTTAGACAATGATGTGAAATTATAACGACATGTAATATATCGACGCGTTATTTTAATGTTTCGAACCAGTTTGCTCAGCTGTTTAATTATCTGCTCAAACTCGCCTTTAGAGTTAGGAACTTCGGCAAGTTTTAAAGTTATGACGCTAACATTAAGAAGAGGAAACTTCTATTCTATGAGCTCCACGAGTTTAGAGGTGCGTTGTTTCAAAGCAGATTAATTACATAGTCAGAGACTAAACTCGTCTTTCCGAAGTCTAAGTACAGATACGATAGTCAATGAATTTGTTAAGCTTTACTGCTGATAATATTAAAATTCACGACTGCTCTGATAAAATAAATATATATTATATGCTATGGGAGTGGTTGAGATGAATAATTTAGTCTGATGAAAATAATTTACATTCATCTTCTGACACCGTCATCTTTTGAATTAATGATGTTATCAGAAAATCATAGCATAGTGAACAAGATATTTCTCAATTTCAATGTGCAAACTATTGAAGATGAGTCTTGCTCTTTCCTTCATGTTATACAAATTTCTATCAATAATAAAGTCAACAAATTTAAATCCACTAGAAAAAAAAAATTCTGTCAAACTGAGTTTAAATTGGACGAGATGCTCTCACGAACGAAAATGTATTGAATTAGACCATAACTTAAAAGGGAGAACAATTAGTTGAATGATTGAAGTCCTTTCCGTAAAAATGAATGAACGCGCACAAACATGCAGGATATCTCGCATTTCTAGTCAATTAATGTGGTAGCTCTAAATTAATATTCGATGAAACCTTACATGAATTCATTAAATCCACGAGAAAAGATTCACGTACCTGTAGAAATGTACGCCGCTTTCCCACTTGGCGCCGGCATCGCCTTGACAGGAAATCTCGGGTACGAGGCTGAAGTGAGAGTTTCGTGGGTCCGCTACGAAACTCTGCACTCCGTAGGCGAAGGTTCTGATCGTCTTCACGATCGCTGCTTGCAGCGCGATGGTGTCGGTGTCGAAATGTACCCCTGCGAAAGAGGAGAGTCCATTGTTAGGGATACTGGAACATTACCACGCGACGGTGCAAGGTTATGAAAGAAGTTGGCGTTCAGTCCCGTCTTCACTGCACGCCACAATAGACTGAACATTGCTTTTCTAAATGCAAACCCCTTCTTGTTGAACGAGACGTTAATCTGATAAAATTATTTTAATAATTAATTCAATTTAAACTGCGCATATGAAAGCAAATGCTGATCAGGATGATTAAGATGACCATTAAAATGTCACTTAAAATAGGTATACCTTGTTGTGGTGATCATGAATAAAAAATTATGTATATATTATCATGAACTGGAAGATTGAAGGGACTTCAAATTTGAGATTAGTACGAATCAATACTGGCTCGATATTATATGCTTGACTTTATTTTATTCCACATTAGGGAGTAATTTCAGAATATGATCTCGTCCATCCATTTGATTGATCTTAAGATTTTGATCCACTGTTTTGTAATTTTTCTTTGTTTTCAGTTTACGAATTCTGCTGGTCTCTGTTAGCTCTGCCCAATGTCCGTGCATCGGGAAGCTGTCTGAGATGACGGGTGCGTTTGCATTAAGATAATCCGATAAATTTTCTCAGATACAAGAAGAAAATTCTACAACAATTCATTAACTTCTTAGAACTTTGCTCATGACAATAATGTTGAGAAGAACATTTAGAGAAGTGAGCACGGTCGACAGATTTAGGAGCGCCCATTTAGCGTTGCCGTATATAAGTGGGTATTCCTATGGTCTCCAAAACTAAATTGTGATATATAACTCAGTGAACATTATTTTTATCGAATTAATTACATAACGAAACCACACAAGCAACCATAAATACATCATGAAAATAAATCATTCAACTCCAGTGAGGTCTAAACAATAATACACCTTCCTTTTGTAACCAGGATAGATTTTTAACTTTATCAGAATAAACGGATAACGCATTTGTGTTTGTAATGCAGATCACGCAGAGCGAACTGGACGTCTAAAGTAAACAAATAATTTAAACGCGCAGCAAGAGAAATACCGTTTATTCTTATCATTGTATGAACGATCAAAGGCAGGAAAAACTACAGAGTTTTTCTTCAGGGGTTCACATCCGTTTAATTGCTTTTCTCCCCACGTCGCTCAATTAGATACTCGAGGCTTTGAAGATCACCAACTGAACACCTGCCACCAGCGCTCATCTCACACTTCCTGATCCTCGACTGGGAAACTCATGCAATCAACAACATACTTTTTTCTCATCTTGAACTGCATCTCGAGTTGCCGCAGCTCGAATATTTGATGTATGATTCTAAAAAATATGAACAATTTTGGTCATCATTTTACAGATATTAATTTAGCCGTTATAAGATAAAACTCACGAATGAATTTTTTGCCCGTGTAAACTGGAGTGTTTACAAGTTCGAGACATTTTACAGCCTCGTTACGTGAATAAGTTTTGAAAATCCGAATAACCAGCAGATTAAATGACATATAAGAAATCCTGAGTAGTTCGACATCTGAATATGAGCTTATCCCAAGTTATTCACCCGAATTGTAGCTGAGGTTTACGTGGAGTAATCCCTCCCTGAATAAATTTAAACTTAAATGCTGCTTAAGTTCTTGTTAAGTTGCTGTCTCCGTGCGGTCTGAGACCCAGCTTACTAGTGGACCACCTTAAAGCAACTACTCGAACTCCAATTCCTACTTGAACAAGAAACGTTCGGCATGCACATGAGTGCTGATCCTGGCCTAAATGCCTTAACGACACAGAAGTCACGACTTATTTTTAGTAATTTTTGGTTTCTCTCTCTGAATATGAAAAATTTTTATGTTTCTTACGAAAAAACCCTGAGAGTGTGTCCCTGATGATACGGATTCGATGAAAGTGAGAATGTTCGAAGGCAATTTGTTAACAGATTTCCAGCAGCTAAGAAATAATACCATTGAATTTGACACACAAAGCACCATGCATAAGTTCCAAGCATTTGTTGATTCGAAGCACATTTTAGTCAAGTTTACTCAGTTTTAGGGATGAGTACCAATTGTTTGACCATATAGAATCATAATTCATGCAAGCTGAAGGTTGGTTCCAAGGCATTCAACAATGATTACAGAGAAATGATGTGCGACGAAGCCACTAATTGAATAGTTGGGCGATGAAGGGTCAAACTCACCCAAATTTTCTTAAAGCAACATTTATAGGGCCGACAATTCTTAAATCTTCACAACTATACCAAATATGTATTCATATGATTATATGTGTTCATATGATTATAAATATGTGTTCAAATATGTATTCATCTTAAACCCTAGACCTCCCTTGATGAAAATTTTGGAGGATATTATTAGTTATCATTAGGTCTTTTTGATGCACACAACTGCATTAATTATTCTAAGTGTTATTTCATTAGTAATGAATTGTCAAAACAATACATTTATATTCGGAACCGGCAGAATTCGGTTGCTTAAATCCATAACTTAAATCCCCAGTAATTTTACCTCGCGGATTTACACAATTTGTTGTTCAGCATTGATAAAATTCATCAATAATGTTTGATGAATTTTTATGATAATTACACAATTCATCAATATTGATTGGAGTAGACACTCGGCCTACTCATCTAAGGCCGAGGTTGGGGAGGCTACTAAGGTTGGGGAGGCTTGTTAATCCAAACATAACATTTTGTTCCCAACTTCATGCAAGGCGGCTCATGATCAAACATGTTTCACAAAAGTTTTCTCAAGTAACTCTTCTCATTATTCATCCTCGTTCTGAACTTAGGCCGCAAGTTAGAAATCTTTTCTGTCTTTCATTCAGTTATTGCCGCGGCTTTGAATCTTGCATGAAGTATTGCAGTACCAAGGATTTAATGACCCGAGAATCAAATTATCGTTTTTAATTACCTTTTTACCATAACGTACAATGAATGCACATATTTTTAACGTTTCCAAACTGATATATATTTAATTTTAATTTTCTTTATCTAAGATTTAGCTCATTTAGCACAACATTTATAGCGAATCACGCGTATCAATTGAATTTTCGATTTTAATCGCATCGCAACTCGATGAGTCTAAATCTGAATTAGATTTAAAATAAAATTTAAAATTATTCCGCTGAAGTAAAATGATTGACGAAAAGAAAAATACTGATTTCGATATTTTTTAAGTAAAATACTACATGGTTGAGTGCAAAACGTAAATAATTAGTTTTTAACTCAGATAAAAATCGATTTACAGGAATGATTACAGGATTTATGAAGCTACATTTAGACTAAGGCCAGAGGAGTGAAGAAAACCGTAAACCGTAGATCTTTAAAACTGTTATTTTAAACCGTGAAACTTTAATTAGTAATGTAGATGACAAACACTCAGAAATTTCAAGGAATCACTAATACATCGCTATGTCAGAATTTTTTCTTCAATGTTTTACATTACACGTCCTATTATCGTTTCTTGCGCTGTTCTTGGCATCCTTTAATTAATTGAGTTAATTTGCGTTCATGCTTCTGAGTAATACGAAAAGCATGTAAAATTCAAAACGAAGCCTATGCACTCTTAATATTTTTTATTCAAATCTGCAGACGGTCGGTATAATAAACGAATAGTTATATTGCTGAGTTCATGAATAGACTTTACTATGAAATTCAAACCCGCTTTCGCTTGCAAGGGATCGTCTCACAAGAGAGCTGACAGATCGTCTTCATTGCCCCTCGTTTGAGCCGTCAGCGTACACATCTCCATCAGTCAGCTCTTTCCCCTTGCCTTAATCTCGACTGCAATCTCATCTGATTCTCGACTTCCTCCTAGATTGGTACGAGTAGCTGAAAAATTTTCGAATTTTCTTCAGTCGTATTGTAGATGAAATATGTAGATGTAATTTATATCTGTAAATAGAATGTAAAAGCTGCTAGCATTGGGTTTAGGAGGTATATTTGTCATTTAATTCTTTAATCGCGTTGGATGTGACCTCCTGTAGTGGTGTGTTTTAATTATCATTGTTCATTGGCAATCTAGCCTTGGAGGAAGGCCTCGATTTCTAGATTGTTTTAATTTAAAACTTCAACCTCACATGCTCGAGAGCTTGAGGAAATGGCGGTGTTGAACGCACCAGTAGGACTACAATTGCGTATTGTGATTTAGAAACTTTCGGTGAGACTATTATTCAAACAGAATTGATGAACAAGTTGGCTCATTTAGAAGGAATATTCTTGGTGATTGTGAAGTTCTCTTTAAACGAAAGTTGAAACAGGCATTCGTTCCAGAGAGTAATATCCCAGCCAGTTATAATCTGTAAAAGATTCCCAGTAGAAGCTATCAGACATCCGGAGTGTCTACTATATTAATTATCAACGCTCGTTGTTCCAAATAGCATTGGAATCACCAAAGTTTGATATTTTCGGTAAAATTGTATCAATCGAGCAAGGAAAACGAGGAATTCAAGCATTTGAGGAAAAATTGAATCAATTGAGCTAAAAATTGGAGTGACTCGAGCTTTTGCGATAAAATTTTGCCAGTAAACGTTGTAGTGGGAATTAGGCGCTTAATTGAAACAAAATTGAGCCATATAAATTTAGGTAAATACTTAATCATTTTCCATGAAGTCAATCAATTATACTAAAAGCACGACGGACTTCAGCGTTTACTTAAGCTTGCGGTTTAATTAAATAAATAGGATAATGAATGCGATGGAATTGAAATCTTATTCGCAATGCATCAGCTTAAATGTCAGCAAACCTTGAGCCGACTCATCCCTTTAATATTAACGCAAAAAAGGCATTAGTGAATCTTTGATGTTCTGTTTTATTACAACACATTCAATCCCATATAATTTTTGAATTTGTGTCCACAGCGGATGTATTCTTACTTTTCCGGAAAATTTATCATCATCATAAAATCAAGTGTCGGCAGAATGTTGCCGAGTCCTTCTATTTACGCTCTGAAGAACTGACCTAAGATATCTAGTGAACCGACGCCTACCAATGACCGGGAACTGT